GGGGGTTTGGAACCTAGGTTGAGAAATAAATTCCCTTAAACTCATGTTTGGCAAATATACAGCTAGCTTAGAATTTGAAATTCAGCCCGCTTTAGGCCCAAAAATGAAACTCAAGTTCATGGATTTCATGAAACCCAAGGGGGGTATGTGGATTAATGATTTTAACATGCAAATGACATTTATACTCTCATATATCCTATATACCTCATATATACAAATTAAATAGTCATTTATATACAAATATATTATCACAATAGTCATATATCCCTACGCATACCAAACATGGATATGAATAGTATTAAATATTAAATCTTATCTTTAGGTTTGGAAGAATTTGGACAAGTCAATCCAAACTCATCCCAAAAAACATACCAAATAATCCCTTAGGAGTTGTTTGGTAAGTGGGATTGGGGAGACTTTGAAAGATTGGTTGGAGAAAAATAGTCTAAATGATACACAAAACTCATGTTTTGCTAAAAATTTGAAGTCTAGGTTATCAAGCCGGCCCACTATTAGTCCGAACCTTAAACCCTAGATCATGGGTTTCATTAAACCCAAATAGGGGTTGGGTTTTGGATAAGGGTTAACAAATTTAGGATACTAAAAGATAATTATACCTCATTCGTATATAAACATAGGTTTGAATTAGATTGGTGAATGGACAAAATAGTCATTTATATATAAATATATTATTATAATAATGATATATCCGTAGGTATACCAAATATGAGTATGAATTGGATTTAATGTTGAATCCTATTTTTATAAAGAGGGGTTTGAGTTTAAAAAAATTTAGAAAAATCAATCCTAACCCTTCTCAAAAAATCATCCAATACTGTTATATACAAAGTGTTTGAGGTTGACTTAGCCAGTATTGTTTATGTTAGGGAGCTTTATTTGAATTTTCTTATGTAACCAAAAAAGAACCTCAAAGTGGCTCTATTTCTCTATCTTTCATGAAAAATGTGTGCCTGTTTCCTATGGTCAACATTCTAAAGGTTCCACCTTGTGAATGTGAATCACTCCTGGAGTGATTAGAGGAATTATTAAATTCGTGAAATGCTCAACTAAATATTTAATTCCTTTTTCTATCTATTTGCCCACATATATAAAAATTTGTGTGGCAATTGCATTCTTAGCTATTGTTTGATTATGCTCGTGTTGAATACTTTAAAAAAAAAAACAAAAAACAATTTACTTATTTGTGTGGCATGTTTGAGTTCTTATAATTCCTTCTTAGTTTTTGACAAGGAAAAATTGGTTCATCTTGCCCAATTTTATCCAAAAGAATTTTTTTCACTAGAGCTCATGATATTTTTTGATCAACTGGATAGTTATATTATTGTTATACACTCTAGTATTGAATTTTCAAATTTGTTAGGGATTAGAGATCTTACTCAGAAAATGGTTGAGACAAAAAAATACATGGTATATCAATTGGTCTACTTACTTGTAACATTGACATTGATCTTGTTAGATGCGACTGTCACAATACAGAGAGCATTTTCGACTATGAAGATTGTAAAGAATCAATTGCGTAATCGAATAGGCGATCAATGAATCATAAATAACTTGATTGTATACACAGAGAATGACATTTTCGATTGCATTGATAATAATGTTATCATGAAACGCTTTTAAAATATGGAATCACGTCGTGGTCAATTGTAAAAGACTATAGTTAGTCTCATTTTTTTGTAAAAGGGTCTAATTAGAACTTTATTTTGCAGATTTTTTTTTGTTTTTGTACATCATTATCGATTTTTGGCTCTTTTGTCAATGAAATTTTAGATATTATATATGATTTTTATTTGTTTTTAACTTTAATCTTTAAGAAGATAAATTTTTAAACTAATAGTTAGTGCCTTTACATATAAATTCTTGGCTGCGTCCCTGGGAAAAACACATGGTGAAACATGTGGCAGGAAGTAGTTATTGGATGCAAGTTGTCTACCGCAAGTTCAATTGCATTAGTGGAGAAGAAATAGAAGTGTTATTGCTATCCAGTGGAGAGAGAACGTAACGAATGAAGGCAACCAGTTTCAATCTTTTACTACTTGGTTTCTTTTAGATTTTAGTTTACTTTTTGTTATTTTCTGATGATTATTTTTTTACTACAATTGAAATCTACTGTTATGATCTAGATCACATAGAGTGTAAACAGGTGTAGGAGCGAGAGCGTAAATTAATTAAAAAACTTGAGAGAAGGAGCGTCATTGAGAGTGTCAAGTTTATTTATATAATTAATCCAAGCGTGTGTTCATTAACTCATTGGATTCACAGACATCCTTTTGCAGCATAGAACATGAAAAAAAAATGCATACCCTTGTGGTGACCAAAAAAAAAATGTTTAATAAGCGAAATAATTAATTATACAAACAATAGATATGGCAAAATATTACTCTGCTAGGTTTTAATTTTGTATTTGTGATTTTATTAAACAATTGAATTAGTCCATTGCAAATAAATATTATATATATATATATATATATATATATATATATATATATATATTATATTTCCTAGGTGAAAGGAGTATTATCACTATTTCTTGGGAATTTTGCTTAGACAGGCATTGGAGTGGTTTGGACGATTTAAGGGGTATAATAGTAAAATTATAGTAAAACAAGTTTTCAAATCATAATCATAATCATAAATCATATGGATTGCGCTTAACATTCATAAATGAGTGCCCCCTTGCTTCTCTCCACAGTATCAATCAACGTAGACTCTTGGAGCCATAAGCACATAAGGGCCACCACAACTTTTTTCACAGAAAGAGAGAGAGATGGAATTTCTTCAGTTCTTCCAAGCTCTTGGCTTAGCCATGGCTGTCTCTATTCTTTTCATGTTGTGGAGGATATTATTCTGTTGCTGGATTTTGCCTAATCAGGCATATCGGAAACTTAGGATGAATGGAATTAGTGGTCCAACTCCAAGTTTCCTCTAGGAAATATCAGTGATATGAAGAAGAAGAGAGACTCTTCCTTCTCATCTTCTTTAAGCATCACTCATGATATCCATTCAAAAGTATTCCCATACTTCTCTCTCTGGCAGAAATTGCATGGTAATTAATCTCCCACAACTAATGGCATTCATCAAAACACCAGAGAATGCTGTCAAAAATGTTTTTCCCTTTAAGCCTTACGACGCGGTATATATATATATCTCAAAACAAGACTGAATAATTGATCAGGTTCGATTAAAACTGAATTGAGTTCGAGCTGCTTAGAGCGTTTAACAGACGGGCCTACAAATCTGTCAACTAAAGAGGAAAAAAACATCTTGTGTGATGCTAACAAGTTTGCACATGTGGGGAGTGTTGTGTTAGATAAATGTGTGTGTGAGATATTTTTGTGTTTTTTTTTTTTTGCAGGGAAGGTGTTTTATTTACCGGCTGGGCACAGAGCCATTTCTATACATTGCAGATCCTGAATGTCTAAAAAGAATGTCTGCAGGTGTTATGGGAAAAAGTTGGGGAAAGCCCACTGTGTTTAAAAATGATCGAAAACCTTTGTTTGGTAATGGTTTAACTATGGTCGAAGGTGACGATTGGGTTCGTCACCGGCAGGTCATCACTCCTGCATTCTCTCCGGCCAACTTGAAGGTCTCTCTCTCTCTCTCTCTGTGCTAGTATTAGTNTTGGGAATTTTGCTTAGACAGGCATTGGAGTGGTTTGGACGATTTAAGGGGTATAATAGTAAAATTATAGTAAAACAAGTTTTCAAATCATAATCATAATCATAAATCATATGGATTGCGCTTAACATTCATAAATGAGTGCCCCCTTGCTTCTCTCCACAGTATCAATCAACGTAGACTCTTGGAGCCATAAGCACATAAGGGCCACCACAACTTTTTTCACAGAAAGAGAGAGAGATGGAATTTCTTCAGTTCTTCCAAGCTCTTGGCTTAGCCATGGCTGTCTCTATTCTTTTCATGTTGTGGAGGATATTATTCTGTTGCTGGATTTTGCCTAATCAGGCATATCGGAAACTTAGGATGAATGGAATTAGTGGTCCAACTCCAAGTTTCCTCTAGGAAATATCAGTGATATGAAGAAGAAGAGAGACTCTTCCTTCTCATCTTCTTTAAGCATCACTCATGATATCCATTCAAAAGTATTCCCATACTTCTCTCTCTGGCAGAAATTGCATGGTAATTAATCTCCCACAACTAATGGCATTCATCAAAACACCAGAGAATGCTGTCAAAAATGTTTTTCCCTTTAAGCCTTACGACGCGGTATATATATATATCTCAAAACAAGACTGAATAATTGATCAGGTTCGATTAAAACTGAATTGAGTTCGAGCTGCTTAGAGCGTTTAACAGACGGGCCTACAAATCTGTCAACTAAAGAGGAAAAAAACATCTTGTGTGATGCTAACAAGTTTGCACATGTGGGGAGTGTTGTGTTAGATAAATGTGTGTGTGAGATATTTTTGTGTTTTTTTTTTTTTGCAGGGAAGGTGTTTTATTTACCGGCTGGGCACAGAGCCATTTCTATACATTGCAGATCCTGAATGTCTAAAAAGAATGTCTGCAGGTGTTATGGGAAAAAGTTGGGGAAAGCCCACTGTGTTTAAAAATGATCGAAAACCTTTGTTTGGTAATGGTTTAACTATGGTCGAAGGTGACGATTGGGTTCGTCACCGGCAGGTCATCACTCCTGCATTCTCTCCGGCCAACTTGAAGGTCTCTCTCTCTCTCTCTCTGTGCTAGTATTAGTATTCTAAGCTTGAGTATATATAGGCCATGGCAAACTTGATGGTGGAGTCGATCACTGGCATGCTAGACCGGTGGACCGCCCTCATCAGCTCCGGCGAGACTGAAATTGACGTTCAGAGAGAATTCACGCGAACAACCGGCGACATTATTGTAAAGACGAGCTTTGGCTTAAGCTATGAACACCGTAAACAAGTGTTCGAAAAATTAACCTCAGTGCAATTGGTACTTTTCAAATCCAACCGCTGTGTCGGAGTACCCTTTGGCAAGTTCATGTGCCCTAAGCAAACCCTAGAGGCAAAAAAGTTGGGGAAGGAGATTGACGCCCTCCTCTTATCAATCATAACAACTAGAAAGTCAAGTCTAGGGCATGGCCAGAAGGACCTGCACGGAATATTGCTTGCCGAGAACCATGGCGTCTCACCGGAGAAGATGTTGACGACGAGTGTAAAACGTTCTTCTTCGGAGGTCATGAGACAACGGCATTGGCGCTCACGTGGAAGTTTCTACTATTGGCCATGCACCCTGAGTGGCAATGTCAGCTCAGGGAAGAGATCAGAGAAGTGGTCGGAGATGGAGAGGTAAATGCCACCATGGTTGCTGGACTAAAGAAGGTAAGTTTCGTCTTATCAAATCTTCATGCACGTTATCTTGTTGCCCTCAATTTGGTTAACAATAATATTATTTCAACTTAATTTATTTACCTAATCCATCGTAATTATTAAATTGATACTGAATCACAACGAATGTTATGATCTACCATTAATCTAATGATTATGAGCGATTAAATTAATAAATTAGATCTAAGTAATATTCTTAGTTAATTAAACGAATGTCTTTAGTTCAAAGAGCTTACAAATAATGAAGATTAGCTTGTCGTGGAGGTAAAAACATAAAAGCACTTGTAAACTATAAATAAATCAAAAAATATTATGAGAATCCAACATGATATCTCAAGATAATTTTTATAAAAGTCAATCTGAAAAAATCAGTGCTTAGTTTAAGTTTTTTAAAACTTGAGTTGAGCTTAGACTCAAAAATCGTTAACCTAAATTGAATTTGGGTTAAGTTTAAGTTGAGATTTCAAATTCAAGAGATCAATTCAAGTTCAAACCGAATTTTTAAAAAGTGGGTCCAGCCTTAATTTTTATTTAAGCATTAAAAGAAAACGTGTATTTAAAATATTATATTTTATTCACACTCGTCAAGAAGCTTTTATAATTCTGACAAAAAAAATAAGTTTTGTAACACTAGGAGTGTAAGTTTCCTAACTGAACCAACGTAAGATGTTGAATAAAGGGCAAAAGAAGATATTTAAGTTAGAATCCTACATTGGTTGCACATAAAAAAAAGTCTCCCTCCTCTTGTATAGAAAGAAGACAAACTTCATGTGACTTGTGTCTTTAATGGTTTGAATTTTGTTGGGCTTACGTGAGTTTTATAAACATAAATGTTACGCTGATCAAATTTTGAGTTCAAATGACATGACATCTAATTTGAATTTTTTTATTTGGTGTCATGTCATTTAAGCCCCAATAAAAATTTCAAATAATATGTTGTCATATCATTTAGTCTCTAAATTTGATCTTAAAATTTAATTAGCATAGCATTATTATTTTATAAAAGAGTTAAAAGTGTTAGCATATAGAAACTTACATCTAACCCAAAATTGAATCCAATTTAATAATTTGAGTTCAACTCGAGTCCAAACTGACAGTACTCGGATCGAGGCATTTAAGGTTGAAGTTGGGTTCAAGTTAGGTTTAAGTTGAGAGTTTTATAACTTGAGTTAGTATCCCGTCCAAGTAACAGCCCCAAGTTCTTCTCAGATGTGAAACCGAGCATTACATTTTAAGAGATGTAAGACCGAAACAATGAAGAATTATAAAAACTCTCTCGAAAGTTGGCTTCTTAAAATCTGGAAAAAAAATGGCTCAACTGCAGATGGGATGGGTGATGAATGAAGTTGGACGACTATACTCACCGGTACCAAACTTACAAAGGCAAGCAAGAGAAGACATCCGAGTGGACGACGTGGTAATACCCGCCGGTACCAACGTGTGGATCGACGTTGTATCCATGCACCACGATGGAGCTCTTTGGGGCGACGACGTAAATGAGTTCAGGCCAGAGAGGTTCAAGGATGATCAGTTATACGGTGGATGCAACCACAAGATGGGGTTTCTACCTTTTGGGTTTGGAGGGAGGTTGTGTATTGGCAAAAACTTGGCCACCTTGGAGTATAAGATCGTGTTAACCCTCATTCTCACTAGGTTTTCATTCTCTCTCTCCAAACTACTGCCATTCTCCCTCCACCATGCTATCCCTCAGGCCTTCTCAAGGGCTGCCTCTAATATTTCAACTTCTTAGCTCTTGACTTATTTGGACTAGCGATAATACTGTTTCGATGCAGTTAGTTCGAGTTAGGGGCGAAGCCAAAATAAATCTCTCTCTCTCTCTTTGTTCTTTGAGTCAGGGCGGAGCCACCCTTGGGCTAGGGCGGACATATTGCCCCTTTCCCTCAATTTTTTTTTCCTCGTTATATTAGATATGTATTTTTTTAAATAAAATTTAAACATATTTAATTATATCCATCTTATTTTTGTGTTCTAATAATATCAATTCAAATAGACCATTATCTAAATGATTATTAACTTTTTGAATGATATTATTGAAATCTAATTTAAAGACTTAATGTATTATAATATTAAGTCTAATAATGAATCTCAATATTTAATAAATTTCTCTGTCTATCTAATTGTCACAAACTATTGAATTTCTACCAATTAAATCTCAAATAAAATATAACTAATATTATTGTTAACTTTTAAACATGTTTCAATCATGTCCAAATATGTTTTAAATATACTAAAATTATTTTGTAATTTTTCTTTAAATTATAGGATTATTTTGTTATTATATAAAAATGTGTCATTATACGGTAACCATAAGATCATAAATAAAATATTGTTACCACAATTTCATATATAAAATAAATATTATTGATAATATTAATTTATAACTTTTTCAAATAATAAAAAACATACTAGAGTCAATAATTAATTTTATTCTTAATAAAAAAATTTAATTATTTTTTATTTATTCATGGTATGCATATCGGTTTTTAATCCTCTTTGTTTACTTAACTTTTTAAGTATTAAATATATTTTCAATAAATATGAATTTATAAACTAATATAGTCAATTGAAAAAAAAAAATTTAAGCATGTTAATGTGCCCACCCTAAAAATTTTTCCTAGCTCCACCCCTGTTTTGAGTATTGTAGAATAAAGATTTTATTGTTTTAGAAAAATATAGTTAGTAAAGATCAAACCATAAAAGAACAATAAAGTTATTCAAACCTACTCTATTAATCTAATGTTGCAACTTACAACTAATTCAACAACTAATTCAACAGCTGCAGTGAATTATAAATTTATTCTAACTAGTAGTACTGAGAGAAGAATTGGCATCTAACATAGTTCTGCAGTAACAGTACTGGTACATGACCTTGAATGAAATAACCAAAATCCTAAAAAAGAGGTAAGCTTGCTGGGAAACGTACGTGCATCCACTGTTTCTCGTATGCAACCAAATGACCCCATCCAATCTCGTTGAGCAACGAAAGCTTTAGTTCATAAAGCTGCTTCTTTGGAGGCTCACCATCATCTTGAATCATGCCATTTAGCACCTGATCCAACATATCAGTGGAACATAAGAATCAAATTCAAGACAAAGCACAAACAATCTTCAAACAGAGCCTTTTACTAATAGTACAAATAGAGGTCGAGTTACGAATCACAAGGAAATGCAATTCAGATTGTTTGGTGATGTAATAAAAGAATAAGTGACTTTCTTCAAATAAGTCCCATGGAAACAGACCAAACAACATAGATTTCGTACTCAGAAATCAAAAGTAAGATCAAAGGCCATGGAGGACATGTTTGGCTAATAAAATAATATTGATAGGGATAATAAAATTGTAAATCAAAAGCTTTTTCAATTAGCTGACATTTATCGGTAATATAGATGTAGCTATAGATTATTAAGTCAAGATGTCTTTTGAAGTAATTAACTCGCCAACTGTAAGTACCTTCATTGCAGTTCCAAGCCTTCCACTACGCCTCTCACGGGTCACTAAGAGGGTGCCATATTTAGAAGACTTTGCATCTATCCATTTCTTTAATTCTTTAAAGTTCTCTTCAAATGGATCCTGCTGGACATCGGCGTCTGGTGCAGATTGATCATCAGTACGATCCACTACTTCTGGACCTTTAGTTGAAGCTAAGGCTGAAGCTTTCTCACCCTTAACAATAATTACAGCAAAGAAGATACCATTGTCATTCTAACCACCAACCATAATGATAACAATCAAATTCATGGCTCTTCATTGCAGAAGTGATATTGATAACTAGCAAGCAAACAAGAAAAAGTAAAAATGGAAGAGCATCACATTCAATTTTGCACCAAAAAAAAAAACTAGCAAAAGTTACATATCTAAGTTACACACATTCAGCTTTTTACAAGGAACAGATACGTAAAGGGGATATGACACCCTGGGAGGGCGCACCATTCCTTGTATTAAACTAACACCATGACTAAACAGCTGTAATCTGCCGCTTGGCAACACAGACTTAACTGACTGTTTCCATAGACCACAACTCATCAACAGTTCAACCAATTTTTGCCAACTTGTTTGTGCTATTAACAGTTCTTCATGAGTGAAAGCAGTATTCAACTACATATTTCAGTGGTAATGTGTGACACGCACATTTGAAAGATTTGTCATGGCAGAATCAGCTCTAGCGTACTAATGCGGAAGTGTTTAATTCAAGCATCACACTCAGGTTCAATTTATACTTGGGATTTCTGCCATCTTGTTCCTAAGGTTCTCAATCAAGACAATTTTGAGAAACTACCATTATTGTTCTAAATCTTCTACACAAAAAAAGCATCCCAATTCATAATTCAGTTGGCAGGAGCCACAGGAATACAAAGATTACGAAATGAAACATCACTCATACCTTCAAGGATTCAATCTCTGCTAAAGCTAATCCTTTCTGGTACAGTGCTTCTGCTAGTTGGTCACGGGTAGTATCCATCCTCTTCTTTGTTTTCTACAATAATGTAGCACGTTGGAATTACAAAACATCGTTTTTATGGAACATAACCAAAATGGACACAAGCTGGTCAGAGAAACTACAGAAAAGATACATATGGAGAGAAATTGCAAATGCCTTTTCCAAGTATGCTTTATATGGCAGCTATCAACTTTCAACATTATGTACGTGAAGAAACAAGGTCAACAATTCCTTGGATTTAGGACTCAAAATGTGTTGGTGGGGGGGCACAAGATGTAAAGATCTTTGGATGAGAAGAAAACAAGTGGCATATAGAAACTCACCTCTGCACCCTCATCTTCTGGATCACTTTTTAGGGAAAAATATTTGGCTAATTCATCTTGATCAATACTATCAACTACCTCATCTGCCGCACCAATAATCTACAAAGTGCATTTTCGAAGAGGAATCAGAAATGAATAGAAATAATAATTACAATGATGATGTTCTGCTTTGACATTTTCACATTAACAGACTTGTACGAAAAAACATTACCGGAGACGATTTACAGACCATCTTTTCTTTATGTCATATCAACCAATGATTTGTTACCAATTGCGAACACACTAGTGAATACAATATAGAACCAGCAGCATGTCCCCCCTCTCAACTAGAGAAGTAGGTACATGAAAACCATAATAAACAGTTAAGCAGATCAACTTTAATTTTACTTCTTTATTTTAATAAATATTCCATAAAAGTAGTAGATTATAACCCATTCCAGGGTTGGATTGTCACCAAAATATACAACTTATTAATAGAATTTATTTGGAAAATCAAGAAATAGTAGATATTCTTTGTGTAACCATGAATTTATTTTTTCATTCATTTATCACTTCAGTTGGGGAATGGTAACAGTAACACGTAATGTGCATGCCTCTTGTTAACACGTATTACTACCACTTCTCTGAAAACCCTTATAGAGCCTGAAATCTCTCTGACCAGGCAGCAAATTAAATACCATTAAACTGCAAAACAAGCAAATGTGAACGTGCTCATAAAAAACTGCAGATTTTCACTAACTACTTCTATAACATGGATCAGTAATTAGATATCAAATAAAGGCAATGCCCACCCATGCTCAACTTTGTGTTTGGAGTGGAGCAAAAAAAAAAAAGGGNTATGGAACATAACCAAAATGGACACAAGCTGGTCAGAGAAACTACAGAAAAGATACATATGGAGAGAAATTGCAAATGCCTTTTCCAAGTATGCTTTATATGGCAGCTATCAACTTTCAACATTATGTACGTGAAGAAACAAGGTCAACAATTCCTTGGATTTAGGACTCAAAATGTGTTGGTGGGGGGGCACAAGATGTAAAGATCTTTGGATGAGAAGAAAACAAGTGGCATATAGAAACTCACCTCTGCACCCTCATCTTCTGGATCACTTTTTAGGGAAAAATATTTGGCTAATTCATCTTGATCAATACTATCAACTACCTCATCTGCCGCACCAATAATCTACAAAGTGCATTTTCGAAGAGGAATCAGAAATGAATAGAAATAATAATTACAATGATGATGTTCTGCTTTGACATTTTCACATTAACAGACTTGTACGAAAAAACATTACCGGAGACGATTTACAGACCATCTTTTCTTTATGTCATATCAACCAATGATTTGTTACCAATTGCGAACACACTAGTGAATACAATATAGAACCAGCAGCATGTCCCCCCTCTCAACTAGAGAAGTAGGTACATGAAAACCATAATAAACAGTTAAGCAGATCAACTTTAATTTTACTTCTTTATTTTAATAAATATTCCATAAAAGTAGTAGATTATAACCCATTCCAGGGTTGGATTGTCACCAAAATATACAACTTATTAATAGAATTTATTTGGAAAATCAAGAAATAGTAGATATTCTTTGTGTAACCATGAATTTATTTTTTCATTCATTTATCACTTCAGTTGGGGAATGGTAACAGTAACACGTAATGTGCATGCCTCTTGTTAACACGTATTACTACCACTTCTCTGAAAACCCTTATAGAGCCTGAAATCTCTCTGACCAGGCAGCAAATTAAATACCATTAAACTGCAAAACAAGCAAATGTGAACGTGCTCATAAAAAACTGCAGATTTTCACTAACTACTTCTATAACATGGATCAGTAATTAGATATCAAATAAAGGCAATGCCCACCCATGCTCAACTTTGTGTTTGGAGTGGAGCAAAAAAAAAAAAGGGAGAAGAAGAAAGAAAGAAAGAAAAAGACTCTACATGCATTAAAACTTGCCTCTTCGTAATGGCGTATCTTGTCTTCAACATTGTTCTCATGTAGCAAACCCTCCAATATTTTACTAAGCAAGGGAGTGTATTTAGGGTACTCTGTCTGCAAAGAAATTCACAATACCAAAAAGCAGTTAGCAGTTCAATATTTCAAGGAATCATAAAGGACCTCAAGTTAGTTAATGGAAACACAGAACTTAAATTTAAGAGAACTGAAATAGGAGTTCAAAAAGAAAAATAATCTATAAATCAGAAAATTATGGTAATCAAATGGAGGCAGCCTCGGAAAAAAGCATGCCGATATATAAGTATAACGCTAGTACTCAAACCTGCATTGATTATCATGAAAATAAAGGTACAAGTCACATAAGAATAATATAGAAAGATCATTTTGCTTTTTATGCCTAGGAGATCTGTTGTGGAAGATTACATAACTATCTATATAGAGATAAAAACAGAACTCTTACATAAGGTATCGACTGAGCTAGAAAAGCTTGTGTATGATATGAATTTAAGATGGTACGTACCTTGAGAGAAATGGATAACTTTTTCCATTCTAAACATTCCTCATCAGTGCCTTGCTTTAGGCTGGCAAAAACCTTTATCTTGGCATCCCGTACCTATTGAACAGATGAGTATCAGCATTAAGAACTAAAAGACATTGAAGACTAAAAACTTCACATAATTAAATAGTGGGGATAAGACAAAACCACAAAAAAACAGAGTTAAGGTGTTAACCTTGTAATACTGAAAACATTCAATTTTTCATATCCAAAGTCTAACACAGCCAATTAAAATGCCATAGTACTTCAAAATAATACAACATTTCACTTGACTATCTATTAATTGCTTCATAATGGATGACGGCAAAATCAGTGATGGCAAAAACCAACTTCAAGAGCTGGAGGTCCTTAACTCAAGTCTCCCACAATGGATCATACCCCTTGGGGCCATGCTCAAGGATTTTCATAGGTATCTCTCCTGATGGATGTGGGGTGAGGAGACCAAAAGCACCCAGGAGGACTAGTCGGATGCTTTAAGAAACCTAGATACCTCATTGTTAGCGCACACGCACATACAAAAAAGGGGGGGGGAAGAAAAAGGACGCACGACAAACATATCCTTTATAAAGTCCCACTCGGCGACATTTGTGCAGGGCAGTCACAGTGTTCAATTTCAACTCCTCAATAAGATGGGTTTCTAGGGAATAAAGTGTTTCTCCAATCAACAATACCCACCCCATAACACATGCGGACACAGGTAAGGAGGCAGAGGACCAAGTCTAACTACACAGTTCATAGTCAAAATAGCATCAAAACCATGGCAATTCACTCAGGGTGACATAGATTGAAAATAAACTCAACAAGGTCAGTGTAAACAAAAACTAAAAAACATGGAGAAAGTTATGGATTGAAAAATCAACTCGATAATTTTTTGTTTTCTTTTCCAGTTTCAAACAATGCAATTTTAGTAGTGCCACAACTAAAAAGTCAAAGTAAAAATGGGAGGACAATGAGCCAATTTAATGAGAAATTCTGACAATATTCAAACAGCTGGCAAGGTGGTGTTGTCAAACAGTGAAGATTGAAGACATCCATACTAAAAGCAAACAATCAAAACAACAACTCCACCACACTGCCCAGAATATTTTCCAAGAGCATATCTACGAGAACAAAAAATAGTCAACAAGGATCTTTTGATGTCCACCACTTTTTTTTTTTGGTAGGGGGAGGGCAAGGACTAAGGGAGCAGTGATGTGCAAGTTGGACGTAGCAAAAATATGTTGGAAATCAAAATCATGAAATATAAATTTTAATTAAGACTCAACCACTTGACCGCTGAAATGGTTAATGTCATAACAATATACGTACAACAGTACAAGAGACGTTCAAGTCAATAACACAAGCCCAGGCATGAACAATCAATAATGGAAACTGCTAGACAGCAAAACCCGCTACGGTCCAGAAACAAATATAGGCACGCAAAAATCCAAAAATGTTTAGGTAAGCTCTTTTAGTGTCCCTCAAATACCTCTTCTTCTAGACGTTCTGAAACACTTTTGGTGCAAGTTGTCGAAGAACCTTTTCCCTTGTCCTCATCAAGCTGTCAAACAGAAATACTACAGTAACTGAAGCAAAATTCAAGCAAACACTACAATGAAGAAAAACAGCCAATTGAAGTTGAGCCCATTGTGAGCTAAGATATAAATGTTCCATGGAATATGACAGGACAATTCAATACAATAGGCAATTTTACAAACAATCAAATCTTTTTTAATTCCCAAAACAGAACATGCATGTTTTAAACACACAATACTCACACAGTCCACTGCAATTCAAAACCCACACTTAAGAATCAAATCTAATAACCTTATTCGGCGGAACTCGATAAGATATCTGGTATGAGGAAGGGTTTTTTTGTGGATTTTTTCCCTCTTCCTGAACCCCAATTGAAAGTTTCCCATAAGAAATAGCCCCTAACAAGACAGATCCTTCAGGAGTGTGCTGCATCAAATCAAACACCATAAAATGCGTGCTTCACCCTCCCCAAAAAAAAACCAAATTAATAGTAGATGGATAAAACAATCAACAAAAGACTTGTAGTAATGTAAAAAACCTTTGGAAGCTTGTCCTTTGTCGGAGGGCCCACATAAAATGCTTCTTTTGCTCTTCCAAATGAAATAGTAGAAATCAATACGTATACTATCAGCGCATAAGAAAAGGGAAAACTTTCAACCAAGGAAAAGAACATACCCGGGAATTAAAACTGAGGATTTAAAGCTACCATTACCCATCACTGGACCATCGGGTTGAGAATAAAAGCTCAGTCGAATGGATTCCTTGAGTGAGAAAAAATACAACGTATGAGATAAAAATCTGAAGTGTATTATGCCACATTGAAGACAAATTACACATTAGCTGAGTACCCATAAGCAGCATACTGCTGAACAGAACGATAAAATACTATCAATCATGTTTGTACATTGATACTTGTAAATCCTGAGAGGTATAGAGCAAACACATTGACAGATTTAATATTTAAAATACAGCAGCAACTTCTTTTTTCCATCTCTTTTTGCTGTGCAGGATTCAAATAGGCGACCCCAAAGAGTTAGGATAAGGTTTTGTTCATATGAGTTGACTTCTTGTATTTCACATTACCAAAATCTCAGTAGTTTACATAATGGTGCCACTGTATCATTTTGCCTATCCAGAATGTATGAACCAGTTACCAGATGTCAGATAGCATATGAGTAGCATTTACTTGACTAAGGTTAAGATATGTAAATTTGGAGGGCACATCTGTCGATGATGTGTTCAGCAATATTTGTACTCATCATGATGGGGATAAAAGATCTTATATTCACTGAACTGATACATGAATGATTGTAAAAGTTATGTGATGGCCATGAGCATTGGATGGTATAATTTGCTAATCTCATAAGCAACTCATGGACGATTGTAATGCGTATCCAATCAAAGGTAAGGAATCACTTCAAATCAGTAATAAATAGGGGGCCCTGTAGCCTACCGTAATCCATCACAAAATCGTACGGAGGTCCAAACGGACACCGAGTACCCAAGACAGCAGAAAAAGAAAACAAGCGTATATGAATCTATTCACAATCGCAAACCCCTTTGCAACTACACACAACATAACAGCAGACCCAAATCTGAAAGACCTGAAGAATACTGTTATATTGAAGACCAAAACCGGAAAAATACAAAACAAATGTGTTTTACCTGAAAAAGAAGTGCTATTTAAACACTTTTTTGTTTTTATAACGTGAAGACTGAACCAAAAACTAAGAAACAATTAAAGCAAGGAAAAATGCATAGGAACATATGCATAACACTCAAGTTTGCTGCAACATGATTGGAAAGAAATTTTCAAGTGAAAATTCACCAAGTTAACATGAAATCTGATCAATAGAGAACACCATATTCTACCTTCTCCTCCAAATTTTTGTCAATGAACAACACCAGTTGCTTCATTTTCTCCAAGTACTGCACATTGTCATGCCTGAATCAAGATAAATGCGCAGAGATAAGCAACCTAATGCCTAATGAGACCGATATGTCAACAAGACAGACCGTCCAAAAGCTGTCGATAAGATAAAATTTGTGCTTTCCCCAGAGGGAGCAGTTTTTTTCCTTTACTGAGAGATTTAAACAAACTTTCGTGTTCTCAAAAAGCACCAGGGTAACCCAGTGAAAGATGAAGATGAAAGTTAAAGAAATGAGTCCTAGCATTGAAGCAAGTCTTTCTATCAAACATAAGGCTTCCTGCAAAATTTAGGATGTAGCCTATTGTGCCTAAACAAATTGGCAATAGCAGCGAAAATTCATAGTCGAAGAATGCAGCAAGTGGAAGGCGTTCCATAAACTTCAAAAAGGAAAAGGGCCTTACCTCAAATAGAGCCGTAAATTATACTCTCCCTTAGGAAGTTTTGCGGAATTTGGATAGACATCACCCATTGAGTATACACGCTACATTTGATAATCAAAACAAATTAAGGAAAATGACGGAGATAAAGATCAGTGAAGCTAGAATTAAGAAAACGAATGATCATAAAGATGAAGCAGACATATTTCGCGTTGAACTCAAATAGATAGGTTATATGTACAAGCCAGCGGGTGAATACAATCAAACAGAACAGAACACGCAGTCAAATATCACAGATTACACTTCATTATACCATCAGAATTCAACTTTTGTGAATGCAATGATAGTTTATATTTCAGCACTTTAAAGCTGAATGAATTTTTTCACCCCACAAAAAAAAAAAACAGAAAGAAAGAGAGAAAAGGTTAGTGCATACTTGCATTACCTAAATCTAGACCAATTGTACGTTTAATTTCTCCTCTAATCTTTGTCATGTCATAAGAATGAAAAAACAAAAGATGAGAGTTTCTCACTTCAAAGTGATCAATGGAATTTCTATATCTATATTATAATGTCAGTGAAAATGGAGATAGGAGGGATTTTAACAGCATGGAGTTGCTTATTGATAATTAACATCCCTTTGGGTGCCTTGTGGTGACATTACTTTTACCTATCAAAAAGCATCCCAAAGAATGAACTGTACTCTGTACTTTGTGTTAAAGCAATGAATTTGGACTTGTGGTAAGATGGTTCCACTCCTTTTTTTTAACTACCTGCACTTCTTAACTTAAAATTATCAATTATCCAAACACAAACCACAAGGACACAGGCAGAGAGCATGGTAGCCTTACGAAAATCACACGTTTACTACATTCCTCAAGAAGGTTTTTAAGGATGTTTAAGTATTCACGACTAATGCATTAAATAGAAGGTTGACAATAAAAAACGACAAAACCATTGTCATATGTATTCCTGGTGAGCATAACATGCCTCAAGAAAGAGAGCAGGCATGATATTTGATCTACTTATAACCTTGTCTAACAAAAAGATGGGAAAGAACATGGCCACATATAACAAGCAGACTGTAAGTTCAAGAATTACCTCTTAGAGTAAAAGACAATACTTTACCTTGTTTGAATCTGATATCATATAAAATTGAGACTCAAATTTATTATCATAGACACGGTTGTTAAGTAAGGGAATTTGAGGTTTTATTTCAGCGGCATCTTCCAGTTTGAACTTGTAACTGCAGCACCAGCATGGCAATATTGATATTAGACACTATACATATCCATCAAAATTGAGCAGGAAAAGTAAACCAAAGTGACAACAGAACCCACGTTAATGTCAAAGCTAGTATCTGTTTGCCTGAAGGCAGTTTGTCTCTGTCTGCTGAAAGTGCAGTCAGTTTAGCATCAACAGGGCGATATGGGACTCTGATCTGCACAAAATCATGGAGAGCACAAAAGTAATCTACAACCATTCTTTCTCCAGTACAATGTATGAGATGGACAATGTAACATGTGCTAATGCCCATCAACTGTATCTAAGGGAAACTATTTCTACCTTGTTTAGTATTGCAGCAGGGAGAAGTTTCTCGGATGATAGAAGAGCTTCAGCATCAATTCTAACAGGTGCTTCACTTCCATCGAGTACCACTTCCTCTTTGTTGATGCTGATTCCATGGAACCCAATCTAAGAATTGAAGTAAAATCCAGGTAAAGGCTTCACATTTTTCTTAAATATTTGAAAAGAATCAGACTGGAGACAATAATAGTTACATCATATCTTAGCAGCCCATCCCCCCCCCCCCCCCCCCCCCCCCCCCCCCCCACACAAAA